ACCAACCATGCAATTACAGCAAAAAACAGCAGTTATACAATAAGTGTAGATAAAATATTTAATACATTTTGCAAAATTACCCATGCATTTACTTGAATGAATGAGGCATTTATATGTACACTTGGACTGTAACATTTAATAAATAAAAGTTAAAACATTACAAATTTAAAAGGTGTTTTGAAAAACACATTGGTAAATGGAAATGTTTTTGAATTAAACATTTTGTACTTGGTAAAATAATTTTTAAAGATAATCCGTGAATACTGTTCTTGGTTGTTGCTCATTGTGGCTCATTGTGGAGCATGTCTTTCCACATCTTAGTCCAGTGAGTACTTTGCTTGTATCATCCTAATTAAAGAGATAGTTTACCCAAAAATGAAAATAATTTACTCCCTTATGTCGTCTACACATGACAAACCTGTTGGTTTTGATTACCAACATTCTTCAAAGTATCTTCTTTCTTCTGCAGAAAAACAAAAGTCAGGGGTTTGAAAAAAAAAATGAGAGGGTATTGATGTAATACATGTACTTGAACTTGCTTTCTCATGGACTCTAACTGCTCTACTAGTCCAGTCAGAGAAGTATAATAAAGATGAAGTCTACTGTCTGACTCCAAGCACTGCTCAGTGTTCACAGGTGTCTGAGGAACTTCTGCGATGACACTTTTCTCGGTTACTACAAAACATTGTTAAAAGACATTTGTGGCACATTTAAGAGAAATATTCAGTTGTTCCTGTACGTCTCTACATGCTAAGTGAAGAAGCAACTAAAGTAGCAACAAAACTGTGATTCTGTGTCTTGTTGTAGTCAGTTACATGTGTTTTGGCAGAGGTGAGCACCTTTAAAATTGGCTGAAATTCTGAAACGCCACCAACAAAAGGATAGTTAAAAGCCCTCTACCTGCATGTTGAAAATTAAGTTTGCTAATTTTGTAATTGTAAGAAAGACAGTTATCAATGGAAATTTGAATTCAGACAAAATATTCCATGTATTAAAATGTGTGGATTTTACATCGATAAATACAATGAATTGCGTTTCCTGAGCAAAACCAACCATTATCAACTACATCTGATGAGTACACAGAACTTTAACAACGCTACTATAGTATGACCAGTGCTGCTGTAGTGATCTGATGATGATGATGAAGCTCTCCTGTGTGAATATGTGCATCATATTAAGACCATGCGTGTTGTGGATTTTATTATCTGTAAGTTGCGCTTCAGCGCCGTCTTCACATTGCAGACACACGTAAGCCTCATGTAATTGCTACTTCAATGGCTTCTTGTTTGACTAGCGCAACAGAAGCGATTCACTTCAGTGTAGTCTTGACGCCAGAATATTTTAGGAACTACATTTTTCATTAGCAGATCATTTTTTAACTCTAATAACTGATGTGGGGCAAGGAGACTACAGTTTTTAATGAAAATTATGTTTTAAAAAGACTTTTCTCCTGTCGGTATAATTTATCATTCATGACAGTCATTTCTACTGGGTTTGTGAAGAGTGATAGTTCAGATACTTTCACAATAACAACAGTTATATTTCTGTTCTTTGCATGCTGTGTCGTAAATGCAGAAGCCCTCGCCGATTTATATACTGTACGGTGTACATATCCCTGTATATATCTATATAATAAAACAAACTGAAACGCAAGTTTGATGTGGATTTGAAGTCAGTAGTCGTTCCATTCCCCTTCTTCGCTTTCCTTCCCATGATCACATAAATGTTTAAGACCTGTGGTTATACATTGTTTTGAATGCATTTTACATTTTAAATGTTTACATTTCAATTACACAGTGTAATTTCTGTGACATTAGAAATATTCATGCTTGGGTTATCAAGTTATAATAGTGAAAACAAATGAAAATTCTGAGAAAAGCGTTGAAATGAGTCAAAATTATGAAATAAAACGTCTACAAAAATTTTTATACCGTTATAATTATGGGAAAAGAGTTAAATTGCCATAAGCCGAAATTGAGAAAAGTTGAAGTTATGACAAGTCAAAAGTATAAAAGTGACAAGTCAAAGCAGAAAGTCAATCGAAATAAAGTCTAAATTATGAGATAACTGACTTTATCACAGTCGAAATTGACGAGTCAGTTGTGACTAAAAGTTGACTATCAATTTGTCATGTGACTTCTCATTTGACTTGATTTAGATTTGATTGTTGAAATTGAAAAAAGCTTAAATGGAGAGATTATTCAAATTAAGTAATTGACAAGTCAAAATTGAATAGTCAATGACAAAATATGTCACAATTACAGCAGTCTGTTATGAAAAGTCAGTTATGATGAGTCAATTACGACAAGAAATTAACTATGTCATGACTGTGAATTTCATAATTTCTACTTTTCATCATGAATGATTGGAATCATGATTTTTTTTTTTTTATGTGGTGGAAATGGGCTTCCAATGCCTTGCCCCATAGACATCCACTGTAAAGTAAATTACTTGTAAAGGAGCAGTACATTACTGTAGAGAGCTATCAAGATTAAAGGGGAAGTTCACCCAAATTACTCACCCTCATGTCCCTCCAAAACCACAAGACCGTCGTTCATGCATCATGGTACTGTCATGAATGCACGAATAAGAAGAAATTGTTGAATTGTTTTTTTTTTCCCCTTTGCGCACAAACATTATTTTCGTAGCTTCATAAAAATTCGGTTGAACCACTGATGTCACGTGGACTATTTTAACGACGTCCTTACTACCTTTCTGCGCCTTGAACGTGTCAGCTGCGTTGAGGGTTTCATCAAAAATATCTTAATCTGTGTTCCAAAGATGAGCGAAGGTCTTACTGGTTTGTGTAAGGATAAAGGAAACTCAGATACTTTGATCTCCTGAGAAACAGACTAGCCACAAACCTCTGGCTAAGGATCAGACTGGCGAGTTTGTGATCGTGGAGCCCACGCATAGCGGCCGCCGTGAGGCATCCTAAATAACATAGATTCTTAATGAACGAGAAAATACAGAGTAAAGAGTTAACTAGAATTATCAAATGTCAGAATAATTAGAGACCGACAAACAACCAATTTGCCTTTCAACCTAAATTCGAGATAATACTAAAATGGGGTCAGATTAAATAATAAAATGGAGTCAGATTTCAGTTAAACCTAAATTGAATAACTCTGCGCGCTGAAAAGACCGAACACGCAAGTGACCTTCATCCACCACTGGATACCTTCCTTGGGCCAAGTGTGTGGACCTTACATTTGGAACAACATTAGAGTGAGTAATTGAATTTTAATTTGAGAATTTTTTTTCATTTCTGGGTGAACTATCCCTTTAACTTTGGTAATAAACAACAGATACAGTTGAGCTCATCATCTATTGAACCCGGGACATTCCTTCTCCTCACTACAGTAAATATCCAAGCTCCTTGTTCTTGACATGATCTTTGCCCTCGTCACATTCTGTCTTGTGATTAGAGGAGGGAAGGAAAAGAGGGAGAAGTCTTCATATCCAACATGACCTCTTCAGATAAGCCATTGTCTCAGTTCAGGAAATAAGGCCAATGCCCAACACTGCTGTATCACAGCTGATAAACTCTTACAGCAACATACACAGGAAAGACTCACTTCAAAGTACAAAACTCTTTATTGTCCAGGAGATGTGTACATGTACATACCACTTATAAAAAAAAAAGTTTATACAAAAAACCCAGCTATTTCTTTCTTCAAGACCTTCTGAATATGAGAGGTTTGGGTCAAATACTATACTTTAAAGGAGTCTAATTTTGCGTCTAATTTGAGTCTAAAGGAGCGATTTTGTAGTTTCATTGAATGCTATAAAAATGATCGTCTATTGGCCTTTGAGGACTGTTGATTGCTGATGGTCAGAAACTGAAATGGTTCTTGATGTCCTTGATCTGCTTCATCATGCCAGCGATGTGCTCTCCCCTGCAGGACAGAAGTAAGCCGTTCAGGATCACTGGACTAACACAACAGTTATATATGTTATATACGTTCATCGCTTAATTAATGCAAAATCAAGAAAAAAAAATCTGGACATTTGAAAATTGAAAATATTACTTGAGTTGAT